ATAGCTGATGAAACACTTTGGGATCTTCTGACAGTGACAGTTGTTACTATGAAACGAGCACATAATTTTTTTCTGTTCTTCCTTAATTTTTATTTCCAAACCTGTCATTTGAAATAACATACTTTTGAAAAAAATATTTAGGTACTGTATAGTTAATACCCCCATGTATGGATTACATGGAGATTTTTCAGCGTCAATGTTTGTGCCTCTTGGTGCTAAATGTGGAATGTTTAAATATGCTTAGTGCCCACAGTGCTTTTCCTTTGCTCAGACAAAATCAGGGTTTTGGTTCCTAGATGTATGGCTCTGTTCTCTGCTGTCCTTCTGTTTTCCTCAAGCATCTGTTAATTTCAGAAATATGAAGTGAGTTTAAAGTTTATTTATACTACATTTACAAAATGAACTAAATTACTTGGTTTTCTTCTTTTAGTGAACTTAGAATATGGTGTGTTTCTTACATTGAAGAAGACAAGTTATATTTACTGCAAAAAAACCAAACCCCAAAAAACCTCTTAATAAATGATGAATACATTTTATAACATACCTCACCTTTCTGCTTAGCTTTGTTAAAGAAATTTATGCATAATTTTTAACAGAATCCAACATTTTGGCCCAATCTAAGTTATAATTTTCCTAAATAATTCAGATTTTTGTTGGCTAAGCTTTAAAGTAGTGGATATTTGCTACAAGCAAAATGATATTTAATGTACAGGCGACAGTCAGGGCATGCTTTGAAAAGAAAAGGGGTTTTTGATCCCTTTTAAAAAATTCTATTAACAATTTACACAGAGGAACAGTCACTTTGAAATTATTTGATTTTAGCTTTCATTGTCTTATTTCTTGAGAAAGCATCCTACTGTTCTTTTTCACAAAGAAACAGGCTGTGATTATGGCAAGATGATTACTTAAAGACTCAATGACTGATTGAGCTCTCCTAAGGTTCTTTGTCTTCTTGTGACCTTTTTGAGACAGTTTTGGCAGATGTGAACTATTGTGTTCCTACACAGAAGTGTTACAGCTGAAAACTAGTGGTGACCAATCCCATGTCAGTTTATTGTTTCACAGGTGATTATTTAAGCAGAGAAACCTGGTTTATTTCTTATTCTAGATCTCATGAAGTTCAAATAGAAGAATGATCTGGTGAAACATTGTTGAAGTGTTCAGCATTTTTGAAGTTTCATTTAAAAATTGTGGATTTATTCTACGATTTTGTGAGAGAAAAACGTAAGAGGCGTGTTGAGGGATTGAAAGTCTGAGAAACAATAAAAATGCAAAGAAGAGTGTTCTTGAAAGAATAATTTGATAGCTTTTGACAAGTAAATGGACATTAAATATAAACTGTGTGAAAAACTTTCAATTTCATTAAAAAGAATGATAAAGAAAGAAACTAGAAAAGTCCTTTGATTCTCAAGGAACTTCATGCAAAGTATACCAGAGCCTTTCACTTGCGTGGTATTCACTTGTGTAAAGTCACAGACCTGCGGCTCCTGCTAGGAAAGATCTGGCCTTTTTCGTGCTCCTGGTGCATGGGAAGTGATGCCTGGTTGCCAGTGTTCTCCTGGATTCAAGGCATCATTCTCCTGGGTAGGCCCTTACTAGTGTATACTTAGCATGAGCTACAACTGCGCACCTTTAGCCAAATAAAAGACAAAAGTAATTGACAACTCAGATCTGCCATCTCCATTTCAGATTTCCCCCTGCCACTTTCTAATCTGTTTGGCAGTCATGAGTATACTTTTGTCTTGCCCTGTTGTAAACAACTCATGCAATTTCTATCGGAAATATACTTGCTGGCTCTCTGGTATCTTGCCATGCCAACTTAAAATTTCCTCTTCTTATTGTGTTTCTTTTTCTGTATTTGAGACTTTTGTTCTTTCTTTTCTGCTCAGGTTGCTTATTTCTGTTTTGGTTTTATTTTCTGTCTCCTTAGGCACACAAAGTTCCTGGCTGTGTGACTCTGGCAGCTTTATTTGGGATAGTCCTAACCTTTTCTCTCATGTGGGAAGAAGCTTTGTGAAGCAAACTGCTTTATTCATACTACTGTGCTGGGCATAGCTCTCCTATTCTCTTGTTGAACTCAAAGAGGCAGCTCCCTTTCCACTTCATGTTTGGCTCTCTTTCCACTACAGATCTCCATTCATATGCTTCTCATTACCATCCACACAGGTAGTTTATAAAATTAAATTAAAGTAGTAAACAAAATACTGTATACTCCTCCTAAAGCTCCATCTATAAATATCTCCCCTGCCTGAGGGGAGATATCATGCTGTCTGATTAAGAGACTATAAGCAGTTAGTTAGAGAACATAGAGCAGGTCAGATTCCATCCAGATAGGCAGATTTTTTTTTTTTAAATGGGTCTATTCCATTTGGCTTCCTGTTTCATAGGTAAAAAGCCTAATGTTCTCCAAGTGCACACCGACAACTTTGAAGCCTCCTATTTTTTTCATTCTGAAATATTTTTTGATCCAAAATGGACTAATATAACCTAGCCAAAGTGGATCTTGAAATATTTGATTTTTTTAATCTCACAGATTGAGAGATACTATGGTACTGGCTGTTTGCTCCTTGGAAAAATGAAGAATAATTATCATTTTATTTGCTTTTTACCAGTGTCAAGTGCTGTTTACCTATGTACCAAGTAAATGTGGTAAAATGAACACTACCTTTGCAGCAGTGGCTAGCTATATTTTGAGAAAATTCAGTTATTTTATGAAAAAGCCTAATAACTTTCTTTCAGAATTCTAGAACATTTTGGTAGAATGTCCTTTGATTTCTAGACATCTAGCAATGAGCCTGATTCCAGTCCTAATCCACAGTGTGATTGGATATTCTTTGTCAGAGAAATTCTTTGCCAAAGCACCTCAGTTTTTTATTTCCTGACACAGGCACCCTGGCCTGTGTTAAGAAGGTAAGAACCCACAAATAAAATGGACATTGTAGCTAATGCCTTCTTGTATGAAGCCATTGGTACCTGTAAGACTCGTACTCCATGGTGGGGACTGGTGCAGAAGCATTTTCATCCATGTAGATCCCTGGACAAGGCAGTGCCAAGGAAAGGCACAAAGCTGGTTGCAGTGGCACACCTCTAATGAAGGAGTGCATGGAAGCTCAAGGTTTCATCAGTGCAGGAGAGCTCTTTGCATGGGAAACAGCTCTGGGTCACAGCATTATAATTTATGTGTGTGCTTCTGGGACTCCTCTGAGTTCTTCTGCATTTCCTTTAGAAACTTCTCCTGTGCTTTATATAGCAAGCAAGAAGGAATGGTTTTACCGACTTTGAAGGCTTGAATTATCATTTAAGTAATTGCAGTTGGACTTGCACTGCAAACCAAAGGTGACTACCGAGCTACAAAAATAAACCACACAAATTACACCATCATACATATACTGTGTACATACATTAGTTATATTGTTTTGTAGTTGCTATTTGATATTGTCTCAGAGTGTCCTAAGAGAATGCTCATTGCGTTTGAGCAAAAAAGTCTTAGCATCGTATTTTTTTCGTTATGTAGACAGTTGTGTGGCAACCTTGAGAATATTTGCACTGAGCAGGTGAAAAGCATATGATTCTGACTTGCTGCTTTGATTTGGATTTTCATTTTCAGACTGTTTATCTCAGAGTATGTACATCAGTCTTCAGAAGTTCAGCTTGTTCTTATTGTATTAAATGTCATACTCCTCTTCTGAATTCCAATTTGCAGCCTTCATGCAGCATTTATGAACATATTGGAGCTGAGGAGTAGGTATTTCCTGTGCTTGTGTGCATGTCCTTGTATATTGCATGGAGTTATGGGCTAGAAGGTGGCTTGCAAGAAAGCAGAGCTTTAGTTAGTGGTATGAAATGGAAGGCATATGCTATCTGATTGTTCATTCCCATTGATTTAGACACCTACCGAGACTATGCTGAACATAGTTTTCCCTTACACCTGGCTTTGTAACTTACAGCTTCCAAAAGCTGAGCTATGGTGAGCATTTTCTTTTTCTAAGTGAGGCTGGAATTGTATCCAGTGTGGACACGCTAGAGAAGATGACTTTGGCTGATAGGCGCAGGCTTTAATGACAAGGTGCATGAAGAGCATAGCAAACTTGCCAGTTCCCAGAAGAAACACTGTTGCCAAAGCAAGTGAAATGAGAGATACCTCACGGGAGATACCGGACATGCTTGCCGGGATGCTTCGTCTCGGCGCTACCCTTTTAGTTTTTGCCCTATGGAAAGCATGGGCAAATGGGTCTTGTCACACATTTGTACAGTTACTAATTCCACCGACCTCTGTATGCACTTCTTGGTGCCTGCTCTTGGATTTTCTGGGAGTGTTTCCTGGACAAAAAGATACGTGTTGCTTTTTAAAATTGTGCTTCCGTGGTTTCTGGTTAACTCCAGACCTATGTCCATTGGAAAATATTTCATCCCTCAGTTTTCCGTCCTTGTCTGCTCTGGTTCGTGTGATCCTCAATCTGAAAGTGCGAAGTGGCTCAAGGCGGGACAGGGACTCCAGACTGGCATTAAGCAATGTCGAACTGCATTAGCAGACCGTAGGCGTGTCTTGGGGAGTAGGAATACATGTCAGGAACAGAAAAAAAAAAAAACAAACAAAACCAACAACCCAAAAGACAGGTATGTATCAAATTGGAAGAGCAGCCAGGCAGGCATTGCGGTCAGTCGCTTTTGGCCGGAGCAGGGAGGCAAGGCGAGCCTCCACTCATCACCGCCCTCCCGCCGCCCTGGCGGCCCGGAGCGGGGCCGGGGCCGCCGCCCGAGCGCCACGTGATGAGCCAGCGGGGATAATAAGGCGCGGCAAAGAGCCTCCCAGGGCTCCTTCGCAGTGTCAGCCGCAGGGACCGACAGCAGCAGCCAGAGAGGGACAGGGACACAGGGGACACAGGGAAGCAAGGTCACCACAGGTCAGCACCTACCTGCAAGTTTCAGCCTCTGCTGTCATCAAGATTCGTCAATATTGATTCCCTGTCCCCTTGGAAAAAGGAAAAAAAAAAAAAAAAAAAAAAAAAAACCATTATTTAAAAAAAAAAAAAAAAAAAAAAAAAAAAAAAAAAAAAAAAAAAAAAAAAAAAAAAAAAAAGACACTGCTACTACCGCAGTTGAAGCTGATTCCCGGGCGGCATGAATAGCATGAACCAGATAGAAACAAACATGCAGTACACCTACAACTATGAAGAAGATGAGTACATGACCCAAGAAGAAGAATGGGACAGGGACCTGCTCCTGGACCCAGCATGGGAGAAACAGCAAAGGAAGGTCTGGAAATAATGTGTATCTGTCTGTGTGCTTCTGTGTGGAATGATGTCCTATCTTATTGCTATGCTGTGTCTGGAATTGTCAGGCTGTACAGCAAGGGGTTCTAATAAAGTATATTTTATAAACCATGTATATAATACATAGTAGCTATGTCATACTTGAGGATAAAACTTTCACCTTTTTGAATCTTAGGTGAAACCTCTGTCAGATGAAAATACTTTATGGGAGTCAGGAGTTTATTTTTATATTGCACTGGAAATATTCTGTCAGATTTATGTATAAGTATTTCAGTAACTTTTAACTTCACTTGATGGTCTTCCTTTAGGAAAGTAGACTCTGAATTATGTGTGTGCCTGCGGGATTTTCAAAAACAGTAATTGCAATTATAAACAGAGATGAATGAGATGGTTCAAAATTAGTGGGCAAGAAAGTTTGCAATATTTCTGAGAGGAGACTGAGAAATCACTTTTGAAATTGTGGTCTTGCAATTCAACTCTTATTAGTATTTATTATTTTTCTTCATTCTGACTGAATGATCTGACAAGGAAAATATTGACTGGAAATACATGCAGGCTATATTTGGAAAACTGTATATCATGATTATATTCCTACATGACAGTTCACTGTCTGTGAATAAAACAAGTCTGTAAAGTCCTTGGAATGCACCATTGCTTCTTGTCTTTAAGGTGTAAGAAAACTATTGTGCCACCAATTACTGCCCATGTTCTTTTTCTGAACATAGGCAGAAATGATGATCCCATCAGCAGTGTGTCAATGCTTTGGTACTTTAGTAATATTTGCAATATTTAATTTCACAATATTAAGTTTTAGGTAGCATATGGAAAAGAAAAATGAAATAATGCAAAGGATTTATGGCTTCCTAATTTAAAAGGTTCAGTTGAAGTCACAGCTGACAGATCTGGGATTAAAAGGTTATCTGCTGGTTACAAGAAGGAAAAAAAGGGAGGGAGAGAGAGGCAGTGCTCTGTACAGTAAAGATGAATATGCATTTTGCATAGGTTAGCAACTGAAGTAGAAGGTGCCATTTTAGATCTTATGGCAGAGTCTGTCCCACTGTTACAGTCAAAGCTTCTATAAAAGATATACTATGAAAGTATAATTATAAAAGTGGGGCCAGTGGGTTTGCTTTTCCATTAAAAGTTGTGGAAACAATATTTTCCTCTTGGATTTAGCTTGTAGCCTCCCTCCTTCTCTGATTTTTAGCTGGTTTTGTTAATTTTCTAACATTCACACCTTTTCGGTATCTGAGGATACCGAAGGGAGGGAGGGAGTTCTGTTTAAGTTGAAGTTCACTTTTCTTGATCTACCAGCTACAGCAAGTCCCAACCAATATTTAAGTTGTGCTTGTCAACCCTGGCATTTGCTTTAATTTGGCACTCTTCAGATGGTGAACTTTTATGTTTTACAATGAGAATGGGAATTATTTTAGTGCTAAAGTGCTTCAGTGATTTGAAACTGCTCAGTTGTAAGAGGTTGTGTTACATCTGATTAGGATTCCATTGTCCAGTATTTCAGAGAAGGCTGTTTTCAAAATAAAATAGGTTACTAAATAGTAATGCACCCTAAAGCAGTTTTCCTTCAATGCAGATGAATGTTAAAATGCAAAGAGAATTTGGATTAGGTAGATTTCCTTATGTTTACAGTAAGTCTCTTGACTTTTACAGGAAAGCAGGCAGCAATTATACTATATGCTTCCATTCCTCTGAACAGCCAATTCTTCAACAGAAAGTCAGATTTCCACATTGACAAATTAAAGCAGATTCTTCTTTCATAGAGTAGAGAGTGTGTTTTTGCTACTTTATGTTGCCAGTTCCCAGGGTTTAGGTTTAATATTAATGATACCATATTTAAATAAAATTTACAAGAAGGGATCCTTATTCCTCATCTTGGAAAGGACTCTGAATTTATTATTACATGAAAAGTAAGTACTCGCATGATAAAGGACCTGATAAACTTTGTAAAATGTCAAGTCTTCTATCTTCTTCTGTTTTGTGCTTGTAGACAATTGTAGAAAGTGCTTTTTTAGTTTCCTTATTTATTAGGAGAAGGTTGAAAGTACTTGGGCACAAATCTTTGTTCTAACTGGTGGAGTGATCTTGGTGGAGCCCTGGCAGTTGGCAGCATATATTTTCTATTAGACAGTCTTGGAACAAGCCAAAAATAAATTGTTTCTATTGTGGGCTGCCCTCTCTAGACTTGCCATTTCAGTGATATGCCTGGTATGAAATCTGTCAGCAGATGCTAGCAACACTTGATGACGTCCATAGGATTTCAATGGAGATGACGCCTAATTATAACCATGGTTCATAGAGTGTTACGGTCTGCTATAATCCAGGCTCCATGGTGGTTGCAGATATCCAAAAATACATGAAGAGCTCTATAGGAAAGAAAGTTGAGTTTAGCGTTTCTCTCTGAATGTGAACAACAATTTAAATGACTTAATTGAGGTAACATTTAGCCTGTGTCAGCTCAGGAAATCAAGAAAATGCAACAGCTTGACAATTCCTGCTTCAGACACTATAGGAAAAAATTAAATAGAACCAGGTGGTTGAGCATTTCAGACAACAACTTTAAAGAAAGAAAAAATTGTATTTTGGATGGATGTGCTGTCTACAATAGAAACTGATTGGAGAACTATGGCCTTTGTGTCTTTTGAATATGTAGATGTGTACCACGAGATGGAGACTTTTGATGCGTGCTCCTCTACCCACTACACTTCCACTGCCCACGTGCACTTAAACAGCAGCTGAAAGATCTGTGGAAGTGGGCCCTTGTTTCTTCAGTAATACCAGAAATTAAAAAATTATTGTAAATTAGATAGTCTGGCCAGAGAGGGTGGGATTCTCCTCTTCATTCTGCTCTGTAACCCTGGACAAGGTTAGCTCACCTCTGACCTCGGTTTTCCCACTGGTAGGAAGAGGACAGCAGTGATATTTGTAAGAACTGGTAGAAGTGGCTTGTTCTATGGTCTGTCAGACAAGAGATCAGCTGTCTTTCAGTCCCTACTCCACTTGATTGGAGTGGAAGTAGAAATCATATTGTCTTACAGTGGAAGACTTAAAACATAATTTCTCTTCATAATAAATTTGTTTCGGTTTTCAAGAAAAGTTCAACAGACTTCACAAGCCTTTTAGTTTTTTTTCTAACCTGTGTCTCAGTACAAATAAAAGTAACATAAAGAAATGCAGTGTCCCTTATCTTAAGAAACCAAGCACAGCAATGCTACTCAAAATGCACACATACTGTATTTTTGCAATGTGTTTGATCTGCCAACACTGTTAGGTGTGCCATTTTTTAAACAGCACTCTTGCTTATTTGCAACTTTTGCTATAAATAATCATTAAGTGTGAATGTGCTTCTTAAAACTTTGATGTGACGTGTGTTTGCTTAGATTTCCAAAGAAAGCTGTGAAACAAATGTGGTCCCTTCTTCAGGACGTTTGTATTGTAAGGCATTAAACTGAGCTCACATATTTAACATTGTGCTGTCTGCAGTCATTCAGACATGTCTGACACTACTAACGCACGTAAGGAAAGAACTGGGAACGTGTTTCTTGCCTTACTGATATTGTTATTCTAACTTGCTGTATAACCCTGGTACCACTGCTTTGTTAATGCAGAAGGGTTTTAATGTAGGTGTCAGTGTAAATTATGCTCATTTTGATGGTTTTTTTTTTTATACTGGTGTAAAATAAATAAAACTTAAAATATTTATTTACCTTGATATTGCCCTCTTTCTGAATGCAAATATTCTTGATGACACTGAGAGGGGATTACAGAAAAAATTCTTGAAGAAAGAGCTGTGTCTTTCCAGTCTTCAGTAGTATATATCAGATTACATTTTCAGTGTGACCTATAGGGATTTATCTGCATTACCCCCTTTGGCTGGTAATATAACTCCTGCTGTCCTTGCAAGTAAAAAAACCCCAAAGATTTGGAAGTCACACATATGGCAAATTATTTGGCAGAAGGTATCAGGGCTATGGATTATGGACAATTTGTTTTTTTTTTTTTTACGTTGCTGCAGCTTCATTAAGTTTAGCTGAATTGAGAGGTTCGTTGCAGCCTGAAAGAGAAATTGGCCTTGTGTACAGTCTGACTTCAGTCTCTATAAATAGTTACAGTCAGTGTCCCAGATTTACTCTGAAGTTTGCCTGGTCTTCTTCTATGGGTGGAATCTAAATTGATTTCTTATCAGAAACCTCCTCCTCTAAGAATTCTACTGGTGAGTGAGAAGACAGACGTAGTGGAAGGAAACAGCTTCATTCTTCAGTGAAGGAGGAACCTGAGTGAATGAAAAATAAATGTAAGGCAGACAAGGGTTGGCAGGAGAGGCTGGATGCCACCACCAAAATTCTGTACTGCAGAACCAGTTCTCATGAATTTACAGGCTTCAGATTCAAATCGTTGTAGAGAATATAACAGTATCTGCAATGTGTAGAGTGCATTCCAGCCTAGGTCTTCCTCTTTTACTGAGATTATATGGAAATAAAATTTGTTTGGATTTTGTTTGTTTGTTTTAAACCATGTAAAATACTCTTCTTGAATACTGAGTCTTGACGTTAGGCTCCCATGGCACACACAGAAGACACCACTAGAGGGTTTTTACTGAGGTGACACTTTTTACCTACTTGGAATACCAGTGGGATTGTTGAGAAGTCAAGGATTCCCCTTCTGCAAGTGAGCAACACGAGAAGGGTCTGGACATGATTGTGGGAGGTGTGAGGGAAGCAAAAGGTCTGCTCTTTTCTGAGTTCTCAATACCTGTTAGCAGTTGGACATTCCTTATAAAGATGAGGGTCCTAGGTTGAATAGCTTTAGAACAAGTTTCAGAAGGGGACTTAATATACCAGAAGGAAAATCATCCAGAGTCAAAAGCACAAGAAAATGGAAAAGACCGTATCCCATGGTAGCATATTTTATGCTGAGTCCTAAACTTCAGTTCTCTCCTCCCCTTACCTTTTATGCAGGTAATTAGGA